ATCTTGAATTTGGCTGAAATTTGAGATCTCGTAGATTTAGGTTTTCTTTGGGCTCTAGCGGCGTCTAGAGATTTGGGAGAGATCGATCCTCCTCTCGAATTGAGGATCAATTGTATCTTTGCTATTTTCCTTGCAACTACTAGTAAAATACAAGTCTTTTCTCTGATTTTTCTGCAGTTTTTCCCTGCTTTCCTACTGTTTTTGGCTGTTTTCCTGCTGTGGACAGCAGTTTTACATTGGATCTACTTGGTTTTGGTGAGAAACACTTGGAAATCCAAGTGTTTCCTATCAGTATTATTATTTACAAATGATTTGTCTTGTCTGTTTGCAATCAGGTAACATTGATTGCATGCAAACTGCGTTTTCTTCGAATTCCTTGAATACATGTTAATTAACAAGTCATTGTGTTCACGGCATGTCAACCTCCTTTACTTGCAAAAAGAATAGTGAATTTGCTTGCATGATTGATACAAATAATACACATCAACTACTATCAGTAATACATGGTTTGCATTATTTGTTAAAGGATTTTGTGCATTTGCTTGCAATTAAATTACACATTATCCTTGATTCCTGCTAATCATTGCTTGCAAACAAATTATGCTTGGAGTTTTTTCCACCACAAGTCCCCTGCTTGCATTTATGTTCATTTCAATGACCAAGACTGTTATTTAGCATTTGTATTTTTATTGTGATTGTGCATTTATCAGTTTAAATTCCACTTCCTTGCTTAGTTTAAGTTTTGTTCCCTACAATTTTGCTTAAGTCTTGTTCATTGTCAGTTTGAATTTTGGCAGCCTCCAGGTGTCTCTCCTATTTAGGGGAATGTTTGGGAGTCTAGGCTTACCATCACATCAAGAAAGACATGCATGATTTGTGTAGAGCGACACCACGACCATGATCTTCTGCCCCACCACGCTAAGAAAGGCATGCTTGGGTTGCAAGAGTACTTGCGCGAAACTTTTGCAAAATTTTCCCGTCGGCTTGAAAGCACATACAGGTACTTAGGTTTTACCCCTCTATGCTAAGAAAAGCATGCACAAGGCTCACTGCAAGCGTTGCATCGAGCTTTCTCCCACCGCACTAAGAAAAGCATGCATAGATGGTCTGCTCGTTGCACCACAAGCACCGAAAATGGGATTTGGGGGTTTTTTGAGTTTAGGGAGTTTATACCTTGCACAAGAGGAGCGACGACGACGGCGGCAAGGGTACGAAGGACCAAAACACAATTTCTCTCTCTCACACACTCTCTCTCTCTTTCTCTCTCTTTGGAATTCCTCTCTCTTTTCTCTTTTTTAAATCTCATTTTCCTCTTTTTTTTTACAACAAACTAACTAGAGAGATGAAAGAGCTTAGAGACAGTTGGATATTCCCTGATATAGAGAGAAAGAGGTATGGCTGTTTGGATGAACGTTGGAGCTGGAATGGACTATAGTTGCTGCAGGTTTAGGTGGAGATGACTATAGAGGTCGGCTTGCAGTTGTAGTGGGCTGCTGTGGAGTGAAAGTCGCTGTTGGGCTGGGTGAGGAGAAGGGATGGTGCTAGTGAGGTGTTGAGAAATGTGAGGGATCTGCTGGTTTGTGTTTGGAGAAATGGTGTCTTGAGTGTTGAACTTGGAGTGCTTGTATAGGTGACTGCAATGGCAGGCGGAAGCTGCTGGTTGGGTGAGAAATAGGAAATAGGAAATAGGAAGAGGGCTGCTGGGTTTGTGTGGTTGGAGGTGGAATGGGCTGAATTAGGTGTTCAGGATGTTAAGGGGAAGAGGTGTTTAGTGGGCTGTTTGTGGGTTGTATGTGGTTGCAAATGTTGAGTATTGGGCCGCTGTAGGTAGTGAGGTCTGTGAGGGCTATCGGATTGGGGAAGAAGAGATGGAGAAGTATACTGTTTGGGTTTTGTGAGTGCAGCTGCAGGTAGAGGAGTTTACAGGCTTTTGTGGTTTGAGGGAGGAGATGAAAGATGTGAGACTTGACCAGGAAGGAAACAAAGAGGTGTTGATCGCATGGAAAGGGCTCCCCGAATTTGATGCTACATGGGAGCCATTTGAAAGAATGAAAGATCAATTTCCTTCATTTCACCTTGAGGACAAGGTGAGTCTTTGGGAGGGGAGTAATGTTAGGCGGGCCCATCCGGTCCTTACTTACTCTAGGCGGGCCCCACATGGAGTTAATTCAAGGGTTGGAGGGAAAATTTGAATGGAAAGGGGGGGAAATTTGAATAGAAGGGCTGTTTAGGGATTTTGTATGGGGATGAGAGTTAAAGAGGGGGAAAGGGGGGAATTAGGTCCTCATCTTGAATTTGAATGAAAAGTTTGAGATCTCATTGTGTGCTTGGGCTCTAGGGTTTGCTAGAGACTTGTGGAGAGTTGTTCTTCCTCTCGAATCGAAGAACGTTGTATCTTTCTTTGTTTTCTTGCATCTACTAGTGAAGATCTTGCTTCGTTTCTCTTATTTCCACTGTTTGGTGCAAAAAAATCTGCTGCGAGGGTGCTGTCAAACTGCTGGGACAGCAGTTTTTAGGAGAACACAAATCACCATTAGCAACAGAATTTAGAAGGAATTTTAGATCTCGTAGGTCTACCTTCAGAAAGCTTCAAATCTTGCACCATATTTTTATTTATTTTTTCCTATTTTTCTTGTCAACAACTTTGACAAAATCATCATTACCAACTTGCATCACATTCATATCATAATCCTTAGTTTGGTGACTGGCTTGGTTGGGGTAAGGTTGGCTTGATGTTGCAGTATAGATGGCTATAGGGCTGTTTGGAGGGCTTTGTAGGAAGCATGACAGGAAGAGGTGGTTGGATGAGTGAAGGGTGGTTGCTACTGTTGGAAGAGTTGGCTGTGTAAAACAGAGAAGAGATGGGGTAGGTGGCTGAAGTTTGGTTTGCTGAGAAAATTTAATATAGATCTCGGCCACTGTCTAAAGGTTAAAAAACTAAGTACAAGGGATCTGCTTTGTGGTCTTGCATATTTGTTCTGCTTGATAAGTTGATATCTCAAAATTCTCAACGCTATTTCTTGAAAGAAAATTTTAAGGCTACTGAGGTTTCTCACACCATTTCACTGAATAAGAATATTTCTTTTGGTTTTGCTTACTAAGATTTATAGCTACAGTAGATTTGTTCATTTCTGCATTGAATAAGAAGCAATCCAAGATAATGTCTTTCTGTATCAGTTATCTAATGAAAAAGATAAAAAAAACCTTGCCATTTTATTTGTTGATCTAGTTTTTACTCCAATTCCAGGGACATAAGACTGAGGTAAATGTTTTAGGAGCGGTTGAGCATCCAAATCTTGTGAAATTAGTTGGTTATTGTGCTGAAGATGATGAAAGAGGAATTCAGAGACTGCTTGTTTATGAATATATGCAAAATGGAAGCGTAGAATATCGCTTATCTCCAAAAGTATCTGTCCCTCTTTCATGGGCCATGAGATTAAAGATAGCTCTTGATGCGGCTCGTGGTTTAACATACTTACATGAAGGGATGGAACTTCAGGTACTTTATTCCTTTCTGTGTATCTTATTTATATCTTTATATTATGGTTTCTCCTGATTTTCCTTCAGGAAAATGAGGAATTTAAGTCAGTTTTCTTCATAAGGGAAGCAAGTATATGATTTGCTACATAATCTTGCTGTATTGTAGTCATGAATTTGAGCTGCTTGGTGGCTGATTATTTGTTTATATTCTGAACTTCCCTGACATGATTCAACTAAAATGATGGTATTTGTAAAATGATCAGAAGTTGTTAATATTTCATTTTGAGAACTTCTGTGGTTGAAGAATGTGGAATTCTTGAGATAGTACTTTATTCATTTTTTTTGAGATGGAATGGGTTTAGATAGGAAATTTGAAGGACTTTAAGTATTTACATATGTCAAAAGTTCTTTATATAAGGTTTTATTTAGGACCATTTTCTTACTGTTTTTTAAATTAACTTACTAGTGTAAAAATTACTATTTTTTTAAAGCAAATTTCTATTATAAAAATTTCTTGAAAGTAACAAAAAAGCAATGACAAAACACTATCCCCGGCTTCGTTTGGAATGGCTTTTTTATTGCTCCTTAAAACAGAGTTTTAGTACAAAAATTTTAATTTTTATACTAGAAAGCTAATTTAAGCAGTAAGAAAGCCGTCCCAAATGAAGCCTATAAAAAATAAAAATTTTGTACTAGAAAACTGCTTTAAGTAGTAAGAAAGCTGTCCTAAACAAAACTCTAAGTCTTCTAAATAGCTTTTTCGCTTTCCAATACTTTTTTGTGCTTTAGTAATCTTCTGAATATTCCTTCCATTACAAAGGACTATTTTTGAGAACATGTATTATTCTAAAATTTGGTTTTCCATGACTCTTTGTGTTGATATATTCATAGATTATTTTTCGAGATTTCAAGCCATCCAACATTTTATTGGATGAGCATTGGAATGCAAAACTATCTGACTTTGGCTTGGCGAGACAAGGACCAACAGAAGGATTGACGCATGTTTCAACCGCGGTAAGTGTAGTTAAATGGTGTTGATTTAAAATGCATATTATACTCTTTGCATGGACGCAATTTGTTAAGCTTTCATTTCCATTTTGGATAGTGTATAGTGGTTTGATGAAATTCCAATAACATGCAAAATTAACGAGTACAGAAATTAAAATAAGAATATGGATAACAGCCACACCAAGAAAGAACTAGACCTTATGACAGTAATGAAAGACTTTCCTCCAGAAGCTGTTATTCATACTTGTGAAGCACTTGAAAATACACATCCAAGTACACTAAAAAATATAAGAAAATTATATTGCAATGCTCTACATTCAATAAATTTAACATGCATCATAGACTGAAGTTTGAAATATGTGTTTCACATCATTTGACTTTCCAATAAAATAAGCTACAGGTTATCCACTTTGACCCCCAATTCCTATGCCAAATGCATGACAGGAAGCAAAAAACCTTTAGTAAAGTTATGCAAGCTTAATATATGTGAGCTAATAAGTCTCTCTTTGTGGGCTCCGAAAATTCGGCCCCGGCCTCCCCGCTCGGTTTTCTTTTTATTCGGCGAGGGGAGTTTTAACGAACTAAGTTCCGAGGTAAATTTTGGAAGGCAGATGGGTTTGTAGATAAGACACTACCCAGAGATTTCGCCCTCATTTTGTGAGGACTTTATGATCTGAGTTCTGGTTTCCTATAGGCGCAAGCCCCTATAGTTAATTACCCCTCCCGATCACGAGAGAGAACTTTTGATTAAGGCTAGTCGTTGATCAGATACATAAAGATACGTGGTATCTGGCATATAGTAGCAATTTTAATGTTTTTGGTGGATTTTCCTTTTGTTTTGTGTTGCAGATTTGGTGAATAAAATTTCTAAACTTATTATTGTTGTGCATGGATGACTAATCTGCCCTAAATTTCTCTGGTTTTAATTGCATTGTTGTGGATGAAAAAAGCATATAGTTGGCTAAGTGTGGGCTACTGGGTTTTGTCACCAATATTATATAAGTAAAAGTTTTATAATTTTTTTTTAATTTTTTGTTATATATTTATAAATAATTGTGTTATTATTATAATATTTAAATATAATAAATATTTATTACGTCATCCGGTTCGACCCCGGTTGAACCATCAAACCTCTAACCCCTCATTCTCCGGTTCATTGACCGGTCCGATTTTCAAAGCCTTGGGTTTAATATTTAAAATAGAAATTTCACCATCTTGCACTTAAAGCGGATGGTGGGGAAATGGATGATAGACCCGATCAAGATCCCATGGTTACGTCATCCTGGGCCATCGTGGTCCCTGGTCTACTTAGTCAGAGGAGGTTGTCGACCCAACCTAACAGAAGGATCCTTGTCGACAGCCATGGATTGCTTCGTCCAAGGGGACCTTGTTGACCTGGGTTGGATGTTTGTCTAAGGGGACAAATTTAAATCCACCTTAGCTAACAGAGGGTTTTGTGCCCTATCAATCATATCCTATTGATTCATATATCAAGGATTTGATGCCAATAAGGAACGTAACGGCGATAGCCATAACCGATATTTCGTGGTGCCATTTGGCGGCAAAACCACTCGGTTCAGAGGGCCCCGGGTCGTAACCGTTTATCCTGCGTTGCCATTTGGCGGCAGACTGCCGGTCAGAGGACACGTACCACATCCTTATCGGCAGGAGACTGTTTGAGAATGGATCCTAATAATATTTTCGACTAGGGATTTGGCTCTTTGTGAGCTGAAGTAGTTTTAAATTTGTCCACCTCGACAAACCGTTGCAGAGGATGGATGGATTTTGCTTTAAGCGTTGAGATGGATAGTTTCATTTTTAAATATTTTAGGGTTTTGGGATTTTTGTGGAGTTTTTTGAATTTTTGTGGGTATTTGGGATAGGGTTTGAAAATATTTGAAATGGACCCCTACGGTTGAGCTTTACATTCAACACGGCCATCATCGGGGTGTTAGGGGTTATTTCCATTTAAAGCTTGAACCTTGTCGACTCTGTCTAGCTGTCGACAGAGGATCGGGCTTCTCGTAGGCTTTGTGCCTTAGTTTGTGAATTTTCTTTGTTGAAGGCCTAATATGAATGTATAAGATAAATATTCCGATCGACTTCGTGATCGCCTATTTATCCGATAGTTTGAACCTTGTCTACTCCTATTTGCGTGCTTAGGAGGATCGGGTTTCGTAGGCCTCATGCATTTTGTTTAGTGAATTCTTTCGATTGTATGCCTTGAAGGCCTAATATGAATGTATTGAAATAAATACATCGGTCCCCACAACCATGTATTTGTTTGAAGGTTCGAACCCTGTCGACTCCTATCGATCCGTATAGAAGGATCGGATTCGAACTTGAAGCAGCATCTCTAGACGTCACGTGTGTACCAATAACATGCTCGCTGGGGCCCATGCGGGTTATGATTAAATTTACCCCTTTAGTGTACATATGTGCTTACAATTTATGGTGCACGTGTAGGGGTTCTTTGAAATATTTTAGTTGTGCAGGTAATTATCATTTGAATACATAACATTTCATTTGAGAGCTTATACACGCCTTATGTTCGCTAGTACGAGTGTTGCGGATCTGGTGGCGGTCTGGTCTTGATATTGACTCCCCCCTTTTTTCATTCACCGGGGTCGGGACTTTCTGGACTTTGGAGTCAATGACCGTTGATTTGGAAAGAACTCCTTTTAGGCTCTTCGATGTAGTGGACTTGTTATTTTCGGTGTTTGTAGACGCCAGAACTGTTTTCTTCTCAAGTATGAAACTAAGAAGAGACTTTGGAACACCAGGAAGTTTGGTTCTAATTTGTTCAAACTTCTTTCTGATTCTGCCAGGGAGTACTTTTTGTACATCAAGTCGCCCTTGTACCCGAAATGCTTGAAGATCTTGATCAACAATGTCGTAGGTGATATCAATACTTATGCCCACAGTGGTTCGTTGTACCTACGATATACCCACTGTTGTTATCCACAAGCGACTTGTATATATTTGCAGGGACTCGTTGTATCCACTATGAGCTCCTAGGAGTATTCGTAGGAGAGTCCTTTACATCCGCATCACATCCACCTTTCACCAATCTCAGGTGGGGGGATGTCTATACTTGTGCCCACAGTGGTTCGTTGTACCTACGACATATCCACTGTTGTTATCCACAAGTAGGTTGTATTCATTTGCAAGGACCCGTTGTAGCCATTATGAGCTCCTGGAATCGTTCGTAGGAGACCCATTATTGCCTACATCATGCCCACCTGTCACCAATCTCAGGTGGTTGATGATTGCACTTGCTTGTAGGGGGCGGATATTCCATTATTGGTCTCCCGTATTACCTTCTCAATCAACAGGCATTTATAGGGATTATTGTAGGAGTCCATGCATCGAGGTCTTGTAGTTTGAGCTTCCTCGTATATAGTTAAGGCTATGTTCTTTGGATATATTTGATTCCAAGTTCAGTTTCATTCAAGCTTGAGTTTCAAACTCAATATGAGTTTTTCAGATTCATTCAAGTCTTCTACTGCCATATTGGGTTCATCCGGATTTGAATTTAATGCTTGCAAATCCAAATTTCACTTGGCGTCGTACAGTTTAAGCTCGAATGCATAAGTTATTGTTGTCCACATCTTGATCTAGTTTTGACTTCAGAGTACAAGTTCAAGTTGATTATTCAGAGTCTTCTGAAGTTTTTGCAGGTACAATTTCATATTCAGATTGACTTGGATTTGGTTCTAACTTTGATCTTATTTCATTTGAATTTGATCTTTATTAATAATTTGAGTTCTGTTCAGGTCCTCTGCTCATGTTCAATCAAGTTCAAAAGTCCACTGCTCTTTCTCATTTAAGTCCGGGCTCTTTGTTATTTTTTTTTGAGTTCAAAACAGGTCCAAGTGTAGTAATATTTCACCTGAAATTTCGGCAGCCTCCCGGCGCTCCCCCGTTTAGGGGAAAAGTACGAGAAAATCAGGCCTTGCCCTCCAAGCGCAACAAAGGCGTGCATGGTAGGTGCCCTCTTTTGAGGACACCGCGGCCGTGATTTTTCTTCCCACCACGCACAATAAAGACGTGCATGGTAGGTCTTTGACGGTACCTGTTACAAGAAAAGAGCAGTTTGCTTTCCCCTCGCCCGGGGATACTTATGAATTATTCCGGCCGCGCAAAGAAAAGAGTACACTAGGCTCACCTAGCCTCGTCGTGTGCGTCGCACCGATTTCCCTCCTACCACGCTCAACAAAGACGTGCATAGGTGGTTTGTCGGCTCGGTGCGCACGTCGAAGCAGGATAGCGAGGGTCGCTCGCTTACCTCGTCATAGGAGTCGCATCGGGTTTCCTCCCACCACGCTCAACAAAGGCGTGCATAGGTGGTTCGCCGGCCCGACACGCTAGTCGAAATAAGAGAGAGACTTTAGGTGACTGTCTGTCTCGTCGTAGGCGTCGGACCGGATTCCCTTTAACCCCGCCCCCCTTCTCTCTCTGCTTATGGGTTCGACCAAAGAAGCGTGAAAGGGACCAAGTTACCTTCATTAGCGGCGGGCTCTCGTTGTGCTTCTGATCGAAATGTATAACTTTCGGTCCAACAGGTGTGGAAAGTCGTCGAAGCAACAAAGTTGCTCAGCCACGAAGGAGCGGGGTCGGACGGCAAGGAGCTGGGGAAGCACGGTCACTAGCTTGAGTTGGGTGAGAGGATCGGCGGAAGGAGCCCGTGAAAGGAAGGAAGTTGTCTTCACAGAGGGCGACTCCCGTCATTTCTTCCGATCCTAATGTCGTAACTTCCGATCTCGCAGGAAATGTCATCGAAGGAGCGGAGTCGAGTAGCCAGGAAGGAGACGATGAGCGAGAGAGGTATTGCGTGCGTTCGTGGAGGCCTACAGTCTCGTTCCCTTCATCTCTTTTAACGACGCACCTGAGTCGTGCACGCGACGTGGGGAGAAGCGATGCGAGGTATGGCCTCGACGTGCGACGAGCGGCGCTGGATCGTGCAACGTGGGGCGGCAGGTAAGGGATTTGATTTTGATTTTCTTTTTTTTTTATATCTTTGTACAAGTCAACACTCTTTCATATGATTGATGACGCGCTCAGTATATTTCATCTATTTGAATTTGTGAAACTCTTGCATAATTTTTTTCCAATTGAGACCAACACTCATCAAGTCTTTCTACCATCTTTCCTTCCTCTTCCACTGCCATATCATTGATCCATATGATTCCTATCTATCTTTGATCCATAAGATTCTTATCTACTCTTCCGCTGTCATATTATTTTTTTTGTAACACTGCCATTGCCAGGTAGTCGACAGCCAGCGTAAAACTTGTTGAATAATCAATAGTCTTGGATGAGAAAAGTGGAGGGTTGTATTAGGTAGTCGACAGCCAGCATAAAACTTGTCGAATAATCATGACATGAATCTTTTAATACATTGTGTTAATGTTAGAGTGTTCCCTAGAAGAGACGCATTGTATGGCCTGAATACAATGAGAAGTGCAAGAGTCGCTGCATCGGCGCCCGTATGCAGTGTTAAATAGGCAAGGGTTCTCATATCATGGACTGATGTAGGCAACAAAGCTAGTCCATGAAACTAAAATTAGGTTAGGATCGTGAAATGTAGGTTCTTTACAGACAAATTAATAAAATTAATTAATATTATGATTCATAGGAAGATAAATATTCTATGCATTCAAAAAACTAAATGGATGAGAGAAGGTTAAGTAGATTGATAGTTTAGGGTTTAAATTTTGGTATTCTGGTCTCTGTTTAAAATTGCGCAATAAGAGGCGTGCCTTTGCGCAATTCATCCCAAAACCGCCTCGAAGCTTACGCAATTCCACCCCTGGCTGTGGCGTACGCCTCACAGGGACTGAGGCGCGCCTCAGAGGCGCAATTGCGCAATTCTTAGTGAGGCGTACGCCTCATGGGAATGGGCCCACCCACTTAAAATGAATGTTTTTTTCTCCTTAAACCCGCACGGCAGCAGCTCCTCCCGAATTTTTCCTACCCGCACGGCTCCAGTTCGCGAAACAGAGAGCTCCCACACGGTCCTTACCCGCCGGCTTCCCTTCCCTCCGCTTCTCCCGCCGGCGCCGCCTCTCTACGGCGAAGTTGAAACTTCCGGCCGCCCTCTAGGAGTACTCCACATTGGATTTTAGGTATTTTTTTTAGTTAAGGGTTAGATTTTTCAAGTGTAAGAAAATCTAGGGTTTATGTTTTTTTGATTGTTAGGATCGTGAAAGGTCGAGGTAGACTAAAAAGACTTGGTTAGAAAATATTAGAAATGACATTTCTTTATTAGATCTAAATGAGAATCTCACTCTTATTCGAACATAATAGAGAAAAATGATTCATGCAGCCAACCCCACGTAGTGGGATAAAGACTTGTTGTTGTTGTTCTTGTTGCCCACTAATCAGTCCATAGACTATTATAAAATTTTATAATATTATTCCCTAATTTCAGCTATTGCACTTCTGTCGCATATCTTATACAAGTTCATATTGGTCGATTTCTTTTTCGCATTATCTAGGAAGCATGCTCTTTACCTTGTTCCATCCACATTGTAAACGTCACAAGTGAATCAATGCTTCAATGAATCATGGAATCTGAAGCAAACTAGCTTTTTAAACGTCTGTGTCAAATTTCTTGATCATTTTCATTTCTTTCGAAATGAATGAAGCAACAAATCTTCCTCAAAATAGGAAATATCGTAAATCTCACTCTTTACACATCAATTTCCCCTTAAAAAAAAAAAGCTTGAATTTGCTTGCGTTATAAATTTGTGAACTAAGCTCAAGCAGGTATCTCCCAGCATTCTAAGACTTTCTTGACTATGAAGCAATGCCGTGACAAGTAATGAATCTGAAGAAACATTCAAGAAGTTATATTTCCAATTTACTAAACAATGCATGTTGAATCATGTATTGTTGTAACGGTTCTTATGTGTTTTTGGATTCAATTGTCTTCATTGGGATTGCCCACAAGTTGAAATGTTTTCAGTTCTTTCTTTGAGGAAATTTATTCAAGAATGAATATTTGATGCTCAAGGTGTTATTATAGAAGGTGATAATTATAATGTTATCAAATTTTTTTCAAAATTTATTTAGTAAGGCAAATGTGGTGGTGGATTAGGGGTGTCAATATTTGACACAACACGAAAACCCGACCCGTTTTCAAACCGCATTGGGTTCGGGTTCCCGGATTCGACCTGTTTGAAAAACGGGTCGGGTTCAGGTTGACCCGACGGGTTGCCGGGTCAACCCGGAAACCCGTTTAAAACGTCTGCCCGGCCGCCCGTGTACCTGTCTGGCTGCCCACGGAGTTGCCCGACCCTGCCCGCCCCCTGCCCGCGAAGCTGCCCACGCTTGCCAGCACGCTACCGTGCGCCCGACAACCCGCCGGGTCGGGTTTGGATTTCCAACCCGTTTTCCTACCCGGGTTGGGTTAGGGTCAATCCGTTTTCCTACCCGGATCAGTTCTGGGTTCGACCCGAACCCGACCCGTGACCCAAAATTGACACCCCTATAGTAGATATCCTAAATCCCAAGGATTTAGGTTTTCTTAGTGATTTTAAGCAAGTTTTATTTCTTTTTTCTAATAGGAAATGTAATAAGTTAGCGGATTTATGTGTAAACTTTTAGCTCTTTTAGATTTTTTTTTGGATGATATTAGTTCTAATAATATTCCTCCTCCTTTTTTGCATTTGTTGAGGAATGTGTGTGTAAGTAGTTGTTTTTTTAAATAAAATTGCTATATGCATTCTCGTTTAAAAAAAGAAAAAAAAAGAAGAAAAGTAAATCTGAAACCTCCAAGAATCAATCTATCAGGTGGTGGGAACAATTGGCTATGCTGCTCCTGAGTATGTTCAAACCGGCCGGCTCACTGCGAAGAGCGACATATGGAGCTATGGCATAGTCCTTTATGAACTCATCACCGGTCGCCGTCCTATGGATCGAAACCGGCCCAAGTGTGAGCAAAATCTCCTGGAGTGGATCAAGCCTTACACTACTGATGCCAAGAAGTTCCACTTTATCCTAGATCCAAGGATAAAAGGGAGCTGCTCAGTGAAGTCTGCTATGAAGCTTGCTGGTGTAGCCAATAAGTGCCTGAACAAGCATCCTAAGTTGAGGCCAAAGATGAGTGAGGTGCTCCAAATGGTGCAATGTATTTTTGATGATGAGAAGACTGAAGCTCTGCAAACTCTGACTCCTGCTACTGAGGAGAAGACGGTGGTGAGGAGGAAGAAAAGAGGAGCAGAGTCAAAGATGAGGGCTGGAGAAGTGAAGATGTTGTGCAGGGGATGGGCGTCAAAACTTGTCAGAGCGAATTAAGGCCTTGTTTGGGACGACTTTCTCACTATTTATTAAAGAAAATTTTTAGTATAAAAATATTAATTATTATACTAAAAAATTGCTTTAAGAAACAGTAAAAAAGTCGTGCCAAACAAAGCCTAAATCTATCAAAACATGCTTTTTGTTTTTGATGCTATGTTTATATTTAGACCTGTATTGCTCTATCTTGATATTAATGTCCTTTCAATATAGAACAATATAGAATTATATAAAGCGAAGAAAGAAATATAGTGCTGAAAAGAATCTGTAATTATCTCCCATGGAGAAACCTGAGAGCCTTTGGAACCTGTATCTGATCATACATGATATGTTGTTTTTGCTTTAATTTTAAATGAAGGAATTAGCAGTGGGTATTTGCTTGCAATCAGGGGTGGAATCAGCCATAATTTTCAGGGGGGCAAACTTATAAGTAATTGTTGGTAGATATGTCAAGAGTCTAAGGGGGCAGCGCTTCCTGGCGGGGTTTAACCTGCAGGGGTTTTAGGAGGGTAGCGGCCCTGGAACGAAGTTTGATTTACTATTTCTCTTTGTATTTGGTTCATCATTTTCTAACAATAACACCTCTATACAATGTGATTAATTATACCGGGGGCAATTGCCTAGATCATAATATTTTAAAACTTTTAGGAGGGGTTGGGGCAATTGCCTAAAAATCATTGTAATAAAGATTAAAAAATAGGTTGAGAGGAACAAATTGCCTAAAGAATCGTATAATAATAATAATAATTTTTTTTTTTTTGGGGGGGGGGGGGGAAAAAATTGCCTAAGGGGGGGGTGAACAAATTGCCTAAAGATTCTTCTATTTTTGTTTTTATTTTGGAGAGAATTTAAGTGGAAGAGGAAACATCATAATAATGCAGTATTTTGCTTTGAACCTTTTTTTTTTGTAAATCAGGAAGGATATTGCTCCTTTCTACTTGGTGTAAGATTTGAAATAGAAATATGGATCTATAAATTTGATTTTTTTTTCCTGTCTGTATTGGAAATTTTCGTATTTGCAGAAAAGACTTTAATTTTACAGTTCATATCTGACGAATGTATTTGTTTTACAATGCACACCGGTAAATCCTAAAGAAATGACATCAAATCAAATTGCCATTTTCTCGCTCTTCTTGCATTTCTCTTTGCCTTCTAATGGATTAATATGAATTTAATAATTTTAAATTCAAATTTGGGGTTCAGCCACATGTTAAGAATCAATATTTAGACTTCATTTGGGATAACTTTTTACTGCTTTCTAAAATAATTTTTTAATGTAAAAATTTTTGTACTAAAATGTTTCTTTAGAAAGTAGCAAGAAAGCTGTCCCTTAAGCTTTGTTTGGAACGGATTTCTTACTGCTTATTAAAGTAGCTTTTTAGTAAAAAATTTAAATTTTTATTAGAAAGTTGCTTTAAGAAGCAGTAAGAAAGTCGTCTCAAACGAAACCTTTTTATTGCTTCTTAAAGCAGTTTTTTAGTATAAAAAATTTAATTTTGGTACAAGAAATATGTTTTAAGAAGTAATAAAAAAGTCATCCCAAATGAGACTTTGTTTGGGGCGGCTTTCTTGATGCTTCTTAAAATAGTTTTTTAATAAAAAAATTTAATTTTTATACTAAAAAGTTATTTTGAGAAGCAATAAGAAATCCATCTTAAACGAGGCCTTAGTCTCTTGTCTAATAAAATATTCATTGCGACAAAGGGTGGCTTTGGTTGTGTACATGGAATTCATCACTCTCATGAGTAGATTTTGATTTACAAAGGATAATTTTTATTTTTTTTTTGTTAAAAAACTCTTAAAGAAATAATAGTGGAGTCTCTCTTAGTTGAAATAATTCTATTATGTTGGTTAGAAGTTATAGCGATTGACCTTTTTCAGGCTTCATATAATGCATGATACGAAGACAAGGTGACAAGTGTCCACGTTTGTCAGGAACGAATCTTGATGAATGTCAATGCCTTTCAATGGTGGATGAGAGTGGACCATGAATGTTGGTGTTGCTCAGTGTGGGTGAGTGGGTGTTGTTTGTTATTATTGATGCATGTCTAGTGCAATTAGTAGTAGATGTTAGATGCTTATAAACAAAGATACAGAACTCTCAAGTCTTAGAACTTTATTCTCTCGAATCCTCTTTGACCTCCCTTAGATGTGTAGAAATATGGCTTATTTATATATGTATTTTTGGGTGGAGACAACTTACTCATTTTACACACGAACCCAAACAGGGGGTTAAACCCCCTGCACCTGTCAATGTACATGAGAAGTTTTGAGATCCGAGACAACATAATAACTAGATTGATCAATATAATTAGATTACACATATAACAATTAAAAGACTTTTGTTAATGCCCGTAGGTAAGCTGACATTTACATTACATGACCCTACTTGTTCTTTTTTATTCATTCAAAGAAAAATAAATTATATTTTAGTATTTATATTTTCATCTTTAATGCGCATTTAAGCATTCATTTTTTGTAGTGTTAATTTAATAGATTGTTCTTAAAGGTCCCTTGTTCACTGAAAAATTCAACAACCTCAAGGTGTCTCCTCTATTTTGGGAAAGTTTTAAGGGAGCCCAGGGTTATCCACCACGTCAAAAAAGACGTGTATGGTCAGTATCACATCTCACTGCAGTTGTGCTATTCAATCCCACCATGCTAAGAAAGACGTGTATGACTCTTTAGCATACATGCATGGAAGCTCACAAATTTCCCCACTAGCATGAAAGCAAGCACTAGTACTTAATTTTATCCTGCCGTACTAAGAAAAGAATGCATAAGAGTTCTACACGTTGCTCCACAAGCTTCAACAACAAGATTTGAGTTTTCAAGTTTAGCAAGCGTTATACCTCAGGATACCTCAGGACGTGAGAGGAAACGATGGCGTTGAGGAAATCAGTGAAAGGTCAAAACATACAAATATCTTTTGATCTCTTTTTTATTTTTTGTAATTCTTTTTTTATTTTTTGCTAATACTAATACTAATACTAATAATATAAGGGATATAAGAGAGTTCTCTGTTATAGGAGAGATTATTACACGCGGAGATCGGATACAGAGAACCATTCGGTTTTGTCTCTGTGAATAATCAAAACACACCACTATGCTTTTAATGTTTACAAAGATAAACCAGATGGTTCTCTGTACCTGATCTCCGCACGTAATAATTTCTCTTGTTACAGAGGAACAAAGGAGAGAGAGCAAGCTACTATTTGGTGGAATGATGGTTTGGTAAGCAGTTAGTGGAGGAAGGAGAAAGAAGTAAGGGATGGAGGCCTTGGTGGGTTGGGCGTTTGTGAAATGTATGTAGAGGGAGCAGCTTGTAAGGATAGGAAGAGTGGGCTGTTGGGTTTAGGTAGAGGGGAAGAAGAGATATAGAGGGCTACCATTTGGGTTTTGTGAGTGGAGTTCGGTTTAGAGAGAAGAGAGTGAGATATGGAGAAAAGGAGCTGTCTATATTTATTCAGAGTTGTGTATATTTATATAATTTATAGCATATTATTCTATTGTATCTTGCATTTATTTCAATTATAAGATTTTAGTTGCTGAGCTATGTGCTCATTGCGTGATTTTATAAATTTTTAAAAAAGGATAATGATCCTATGATATGAGACTCCGGACAACATGCATAATTTTTCTACCTACAATTCTAGACAAAAAAATAATTATGTTTCTTTTTACGGTTCATTGGTAAACTTAAATGATTAAAATGAAAGATATATGTAATTATTTTAATATAGATCCTAGAGTATGACAAAATGATATCAGAGCAATGATTATTGAAAGAATTGAAATATAACTAGAATTTATGAGTGAACTAGAAATTTAGTTTCTGATTTATAATTAGTTGATTTGAGTTTGACATTTTTTAAGCACGCTCTCTCTCTCTCTCTCATATCATCTCCATCAAACCTCTCAATAAAGCGGAGGAATTCATCGGAGATCTTTGTTCACATTTTAGATATCTTAGATCTTTGTTCAGAGCGGTGGTGAAATAGATGGGGATATTATCAGCAGAATTCAAGTTGGATGGTTGAAGTGAAGGAATGCATCAGGCTTATTGTGCGATAGAAAAGTCCCCCTCAAACTTAAGGGAAATTTCTATAAGATGGTGGTGAGACCTGCAATGCTTTATGGTGTCGAATGTTGGCCATTAAAAGAGAAGCATAATACTAAGTTAAGTGTTGTAGAAATAAGGATGCTGAGGTGGATGAGTGGCTTTATCCTAAGAGATAGAATACAAAATGAGTATATATGTGAAAAGGTTGGAGTAGCTCCAATGGAAGATAAGATTAGAGAGAGTCACTTAGATGGTTTGGTCACATTAAACGGATGCCTTCTGATGACCCAGTTAGGAAAGTTGAGGTATTAGATTTGACTTATGTTAAGAAAAATAGAGGTAGACCTAAAAAGACTAAATTATAAAATATTAGAAATGATCTTTCTTTATTAGATTTAATGAGAATTTGACTTTTAACATGACATAATGACAAAAAGGATTCATGTAGCCGACCACACATAGTGGGACAAAGGCTTGATGTTCTTGATGTTGTACGCTCTCTCTCTCTCTCTCTCTCTCTCTCTCTCTCTTGTGCGCTCAAGAATTGATATAGAAATGTCGTGGACGACATTTTTCGAAGGTGGAAAAATTATAATAACTCAAATAGGTGAAATAAATTAATTTGAAAAATATAAAACTTTTGAAGTAAAGCGTTTTAGCATTGATCTAGTAAGTGTTTTGACACTAGGCCATGAACAGTATATATATATATATATATATATATATATGTATATATATATAACTTCACCCCATTGACTCCCTCGCTTGCTTGGCCAGGAAGAAATTGAAAGAGGGGAAGAAGAGGGAGGAGAGATAAATGTCTTTGGATCATATTTGTCAGTCATTCTCATTACAAATTTTATTCTATTCATTGTAATTGAATAATTTTTTGCTTTTGTTTTCAATGATTTTGATTTCTACGAATTTTATCTTTTCTTAATATGCCAAAAATAAATTATCCCCTAATTTCATAATTTTTGACCGTGCAAATTTTGATATGTTATAAATTTGATCATTCTAAATAATTTGATATGATTTTTTTTTTGTATTTTAAATAAAGTATTGAATGATATCATATATATGATATGATAACTCTATGTGATACCCTTTTTATCAACATGATTCACCGATTGAGAGTCATAAGAAGTTAGAAATTGATTGGGTGTTATAAGGAGTCAGAGTGAATAATTCACATGATTCAAGAAGAGTTATAAGAAGTACATTGACTGCGAGTTATAAGTGGTGATTAATTAGGAGTCATAAGTGCATGAACAAAATGCCCTTAAGATATACTCACTAAATATCTGAATACTGATACCGACACTGTTACGAATATTATACTAATATTTTGATTGGCACTAATATTATTTACTGCCATTAACACTATTTAACGTTATTGATTATAATAATAATATTGCTACTAGCATTAATACTATTGACTGTTACTGATACTATGACTGATAATGTAATGATTTGAGATGTGATAAATTATAGAATGATGAATTGATACAAAAAATCAATATAGCTATTAATGCATATATTTTTTTTTATATAATTTATAGCAAATTATTCTATTTTATTTTGCATTGATTTCAATTATAAGATTTTAGTTGCTGAGCTATGTGTTAATTATGTGATTTTACATGTTTTCAAAAAAGGATAAATATTCTATGATATGAGGCTTCGAATAAGATGCATAATTCTTCTACCTATAGTTCTAAAAAAAACACAATTATCTTTCTTTCCGTTGTTCATTGACAAGCTCTAATTAAATAGTTAAAATGAAAGACAGATATAATTCTTACAATATAGATGCTGAAGTGTGACAGATGTATGACCATCAATTTTGAGGAAGTGGAAGTTGTGGATCCTTATTTTATGAAAATTGATCCTTGAAAATTGAGAAAAATTATTAGGTGCGGAGTGCGCACCGTCCACACAAACATTGGGTACCTAGCGGTACCGAGTGCTGGTACCGCTAGGTACCCAATGCTTGTGCGGACGGTTCTCCCCATCTTTACTCTGCACCTAATAATCTCTCGAAAAGTGGAGGCGAAGCAGTTGGTTGTCCATAATTTTTGGCATGAAAAAGAACACCCCTTGAAATGTGAAAATACTATAGGCATGTGCTCCTTCATTTATATCCTTGAATTGATCTTACCAGCTTGGATGGATCACATCTAATCATTAATATATTTATAACAATAACTAACACAGAGATAATGAAAATATTATGAAGCTCCTTTTGATATGAAGTCCTTTGATGTGCTTCATCAAACAATAATTCTGTCAGATAAACTGTTATTGGGAACGTATCAGAGTAGGCAAAATGGCCATAGCTTCTCCATCCATAAGAAGAGTTTCTTGACTTCCGAAGCATTTTGTTCTGAACTTCACCCTGTAACATAAGCACAAATTGTAAAAACTTCTGAAGAAAGAATTTTAAAAAAATGGACCACTGTTATTCTTCTGGCCTAATTTGATTCCATTCTTAAGAATTTTGTTACTGTTTCTGAAAAAAAACAAAAGAAAAATTAGGATAAGAAAATTCATTGTAGTGTGTTATTTGTTTTGGTTTCCTAAACACGTATAATTAAATTATATAAAACCAGAAAGTATTCTTTTAGTGAAAGTGTGCAGCTAGAACCAAACGAAAATTTCCCTTGAGTGAAATTGCAACAAAAAAATCAAAACAAGTAGAAAACAACAAAAAAACGAATCCAAATAAGACTTCTAATAATTTTGAGTTGCAGTCGATTGCCCGTGAAAGCTTCAAGTTTTGTGCATCTCTTAATGTGGTTAGGCTTGTCAGTTTACAAGTAGTTGATCCCACTAAAATAAATATGAAGGCTCAAGTGCATTTCCAACTTTTCATAATTAGACTAGAATAGATGCTTATCTGAATACAAAATATGGCGTTTAATTTTTCATATTTGCAGCTAATTCTGATTCAACTAAGGGTTCATTTGGGACGGCTTTCTTCTTGCTTTCTAGAAAAGTTTTCTAGTTAAAAAATTTCTTGAATTTAAAAATTTTGTACTAAAAAGTTATTTTAAAAAGCAGTACGAAAGCTATCCCAAACAAAGCCTAAATATATGCTGCTTGTTAAGTCACCTTTAGCTAGTTGCAAGGCGCAGAGATACATGGAAACAAACACTAAGGGAGAGAGAGAGAGAGAGAGAGAGAGAGAGGAGGAGAGTGCTTAGAGGGATGCATACATGTATTTTTCCTTATGTTCCCTTATGTTTGTAGCTTGCACTTCAGCAACCACCTCATCGTCAATGTAGACCGGTAGCTTAAATTGCAGAGTTTGAGAGGCATAAATTGCTCCAGGCTACATGATTAGTTCAAAATAAATATTCACATATAGAAAAAGGGAGTAATAACACACTATAGGAGAGAGAGAGAAAAAAAAATAACACATGCACATATGGAATATGAGCTACTTAGTAACTTTGGCAGAACAAATAAACAATTGCAGTGCAAATGATAAAATTAAAAATTTCCTCCATAGAGTAGATGAATATATGGAGTGTAATTTGAGTAGTAAAAGACATAGTGAGGGGATTGTGATTGTGACTTTGGGCGATCAAGTCATTAATAAGAGTACACGTTTTAGATATCTTGGATTTATTGTTCAGAGTGATGGTGAAATAGATGGGGATATTATCAGCAGAATTCAAATGGGATGGTTGAAGTGGAGGAATGTATCGGGCTTGTTGTGTGATAAAAAAGTACCCCTCAAACTTAAGGGAAAATTCTATAAGATGGTGGTGAGGCCTGCAATGCTTTATGGTGCCAATGTTGGCTATTAAAAGAGAAGCATAATACTAAGTTAAGTGTGGCAGAGATGAGGATGCACATGTGGATGAGTGGCTTTATCCATAGAGATAGGATATGAAATGAGCATATACGTGAAAATGTTAGAGTAGCTCCAGTAGAAGATAAGATTAGAGAGAGTCGCCTTAAATGGTTTGGTCACATAAAACGACGGCCTTCCGATGACCCGGTTAGGAAAATAGAGGTATTATATTTGACTTATGTTAAGAAAGATAGAGGCAGACCTAAAAAGATTTGGTTAGAAAATATTAGAAATGATCTTTCTTTATTAGATTTAAGCGAGAATTTGACTTTTAATAGGACACAATGGAGAAAAAAAGATTCATGTAGCTGACCCCACGTAGTGGGATAAAGGCTTGATGTTGTTGTTGTTGTGTAGAGTAGATGAATAACAAGTGCATTTCAAATTTGGAAACAATATCAGAATATAAGGTGGAAGATATAACGAAAATGCAGACATAAGTTGTAGCTTAAAGCAAAATATAGCAGGTGATAAATGAATATTTGGTATATATAGGGTATGTCGGATCTAAATTTATCTATGGATGACACTCAACATTACTAGCAAAAAATATTCTGGTAAGAATTAGAGTTGAGAGAGATTCAAATGATCGTAAGTCGAGGATTGACTGAGCCTGGAGGGTCGTATTCACGGGCCCCTGTGGTATGCACTTTTTGTGGCTAGATCAGGGGATGTCAATGTTAGCTTGGTACCTAGATGAAGCTCAAAAGATCAATTTCTATTGAGATAAGTGATTCCCAAGAGCTTCGAGGAATCTATGCGAGTCCCTTAGTTCTTATGCCCAGGGTGACTCCTTGATTCAGTCAGATGGAACGAGTCATGTTCCATGTTGGTGAGTATCTTTGGTGAGCAATGTGATTGCTTTGGCCAAGTTTTAGCTTGAACCTACTACGTGCCTATGAAATAACTACATGGGCATGTACGAGTACACGTGAAATTAAGATATTTATTTGAAAGTTCCACCCCTCTTGTGCATTTTAAGAATCTCAAGAACCGTGTGATAAAATAAGGTATACATCCTATCTTAGAAAGAAATGTACAGCAAGTCCAATAACTTTAAGAAGTTGATTGTTAACAAGGACATTCGTTTATCAACTAATCATTTTGTTGGTGGAAAAATTCATAAGCTTTCTCCTCTGGGTTATTAATGCATATAACATACGTCTATTAGAACAAAAAGAACTAGCATACCACGAAGATCTAGTTGCAACTATCCTTATAGTTTTTGTCTAAGCAAATCATTACAACAACAACAACAACATCAAGCCTTTATCCCACTACGTGGGGTCGGCTACATGAATCCTTTTTCTCCATTGTGTCCTATTAAAAGTCAAATTCTCGTTAAGCCTGGGCTGACAAAAATGGATTATATCAAAGCATTTGATTTTAATGGGATAATTTGTATTTCTCGTTAAGCCTCTCATATTTAAAGCCCTTAACATAGCATCACTTGTTATGAAAATAGATTAAAAAGTTGGTTATCTGCGTGAGATTGACCAGCTAGGAACCAGTAAACATGTGTTAAATATGACTTCCTAGCGCTGCAATAAAATATTGTATCGCCTAAGTCCTACCTTCAATTCCCATGGGTTGTTTGGTTGGTTGAAGAGTTGGCGCAGGGTAAAATAGATCTAGCAAAACTATTTAATATTCATGTTTGCTTTACTGAAATTTGCCGGCATTAACTTTAAAACTAGTAATTATTTAGTATATAACTTCGACAAAACTCCTATCAAGCAAGTAAAAGCTGTTAATTTTGAGAAATTATTCTGTGCGGACAAGGAGACGAATCAGGACGAGCCACATCACTTTTTTGCTGTGTACCAGTGCTATGTACCGCTGTGTACCGAGTGACATTGCGCATTCTGGTTCGCCTCCTAACACTCCGGTAATTGCAGAGAATAATTTCTCGCTAATTTGATCATATTTATCTAACTGGAATCTAGTTTGAAGTGTAAATTCTTCACTTCACACAAAACAGACAAAGGAAATGTATTCTAAATTCTAACATAACACATAGTTAGTGCCAAAAATATCCTCTTGCTGAAAAGACAAAGTTCAAAGGAATAGCAGAATATGAATTCGTTCAACTAATGTTAGCATGGATTTTCCAACAACTTATACTGACTCCTATTAGAGAGTCGCCTTAGATGGTTTGGTCACATAAAACGACGGCCTTTCGATGACCCAGTTAGGAGAGTAGAGGTATTAGATTTGACTTATGTTAAGAAAGGTAGGGGTAGACCTAAAAAGACTTGGTTAGAAAATATTAGGAATGACCTTTCTTTATTAGGTTTAAATGAGAATTTGACTTTTAATAGAACACAATGGAGAAAAAGGATTCATGTAGCCGACCCCATGTAGTGGGATAAAGGCTTGATGTTGTTGTTGTTGTTGTTGTTGTTATACTGACTCCTATTGGTGATCATCACATTTAAATTTCTTGGCATATTTCGTATATATGTTTTATTAGGAAAACTAAGAATATTGATAGGAGATTATATTAGAAAGATATCCAGATTACTTATTTATTTATGGGAAATTTACATACATACCACTTTATAACATCCTATTTATTGGTATCCTCATGTATGGCTGTTTATTGGTCCTATTACAAGTCAATAATACACAAAAATCTATTTATTCCTCACAACATTGGTTCTTTATGGGTAATCACCGCATATATACTAAACAAAGGGAAAACATTAATTTTAGAGGTGCTCAGCATAAGTCTGTAGAAAAGAATAGCTAAATCACTGGAAAGGATTCAGCTTCACTTCTCTACTTGTGATTAGAGAAGCCAATATTAGCTCAATTAAAAGAAGAGATTTTTACCAAATAGAGAGCAAGAGAAGAAGAGATGGAAAACCTACAAAGTTGGAGGAGATGACTGATGGGAAAAGAGACGCAACGAGCATGCCATGGACGACGCTGCCTCTTTCGAACCCGCCGATGCGCAAGGCGACGTCGGGACTGAGGTGGACCGGATTTCGGTCACCGCTCACCTCGGCGTACACCGCAACGTCGCCGGCGGAGAACCGCCGGGTCTCGCGCAAAACATCGCCGACCTTTAGCGGCGACCGTGCTGCCTCGAGAGAAGAAGAGAAGCAATAAGCGGCGGCGGTGCAACGACGAGGGAAAATTCGGATCAGAGTGTTGACATGCATTCGGGGGAGCAAGAAGCTGCCCATTTGGCGGCCCGTCGACGGGATTTGCCCGACGGGAGGCGGGAGTGCGTAGAACCAACTTAATGCTTTTGGCTCGTTGGTTTAGGGTTGTCATGCCCGGGTAACGGACGGGTCCGACTGAAATCCAGGGTAAGGACAACTTGGAAGACCCAAATCTAATTTGATACTATGTTTGGATTAAAAGAAATTATAAATCTTCAATTACTGAGTTTAGATTAAATGATTAAAAAAAAGTAGATTATATTAATTACCAAAATAAATTTTAAAAAAAATCAAAATCGAGTTTGTAGGTCTACATGAATTTGATCTATTCATTAATCATGACAGAATTACAGGCCTGAAACTGATTCGTTTATTAAATGAGTTACCCCAAAATAAATGTTTTGAGTCAGATCTGGGTCTTATTAGGGAGACTGGTTATTTATTGACACCCCTAATTGATTATAAACTTGGAATGTTTGGTTAAAGTATTATGGGTGTAGAATAAAAGAAATGCATAATTTCTAATTTTTTTTATATCTATTATGAAGTAAATTAAATATAAAATATTAATTAACAATATTTGAAATATCTTAAGTATAATTTTGATGAATTTAAAATTAGTTTAAAGTAGATGAATTTTAAATGTAGGAGAAACTTACAACACTTGTCTCATATTTCCCATTTATAATTGCCTCCTTTTTGTCATTGCTTGCAATTACTCATGGCTACTTCCTCTGTGGGCTTCAAAGGATGCCTACAACAATGCAATAGAGGACTAAACATAAGTCAAATATGAGGTGATACAGGCACTACAGTTCTGTTCCTTTGCCTGCCTGTATGAGGATCAAGGTTCTCCAAAGTAGCAAGCTTCTAGGTTTAATTACATTCCAGATTTTTTTAAGAACATTCTTAATTAAGGAGTCAATGCTTGTGTTTAAATTAGGAATGATTGACATAAGTATAATAAGGTGAAAATCAAATTGATTGAATGGTAATATAATGTGGATTCACCTTCATAATGAATATGACATCCATAGTTAAAATTTCATGGTTATATCATTCCAGGTTTGTTGGTGCCTTTAATTTAATTAGTTAAGTGGAGATTTAAGGATCTTTGTTAGCAATCATAGGTTACCTCATCCAAGGGAAACCCATTGGCTAAAGGTATAAACCTAATCCCATTTTAACGTTATTGATAGATGCTCTGACAAATAATCTTGGATAGATCAAACACGCTTGTTTGATTCCTCCCATAGACCTCTTCCATACAAGTTAATGTCATTGAGTAATACTCTAACAAACAACCTCGGATATGTCCCCCTTGTGGATTTATCTCAAACTCCACCACACAAGTTCATGTCATCGAGCAACAACCTGAAAAACAATCTCGAATAGGTCAAACATTCTTAGTGAATTTTCTCAGTCTCTTCAATGCATGTTAACGTTATCAAGCAATATTTTGACAAATAGCCTTAGATAGATCAAATATCCTTGGTGGATTTCTTTTAACCTCCATGGCAAATGTTAACATTATTGAGCAATACTCTGACAAACAATCTCTGATACGTTAAACATCCATTGTAGATTCATCTCGATCAGTTAATTCAATTAAGAAATGCTTTGGCAAGCAACCTCGGATCGATCAAACATTCTTGGTGGATTTATCTTAACCTCTTCAACGAAGCAATTTAAAGCATCACTTTCAATTCCTTTAACGAAAGATTATATTCTTATCAGTATCAGGTCTCTACTCAATTGACACTATTAGTGTGCCACTATCTGACCTCCTCAGTTGGGTTGTAAGCTATCCTTCCCTATCTTCATGGATATCTATTACCTTCAATAGAATGCAACCTGATCAATAATGTCATCAACCCTTCATCTAACTTCCATTGTTGGCCCTTTGCCTCTTGAGCTCGGTCAGACCTTCACTTCCTGACAGTCATCATTAGCCTATTACCCAACTATCATCACTGGCACATCGTTTAACTACCATTGTTAACACACACCTATTGTTGCATGCGTAAGAGGACCAGGTCTTTAACGTTATTGACAGCCTTATGATTCCTACATGATAGTCATCACCACTTTTTTTATAGGAATATTGAAGCCTACATTGGAGGACAATCCCTTTATCATTATTGATAGTCATGCAACATTGTGTTATGTGTTGAAACCTCCAAATAAATATTTAAAATCATAAACCATCAATATATCCTATTTAAAATCTCCCTATGAGATAGGGAGAATTTTAAATATTTACTTGGATCGATATTGTGATACATGCCGAGATCCCTCAAATAAATATTTAAAATTATCAAGCTTAATATTCCTTCAAATAGAGATACAATAATTACCACTATCAACACATATGCAGGTGATCTTTTGAAAAGTTTGGGACGTCACTATCAACACATATACAGATGATCTTTTGAAAAGTTTGGGACGTCACCTTCTCTAGTGTACCAAGATTTTAAATGTCAGGAAATAGACTTTTGTGACTACTCACTCTAATAAGTCGAGTTGGAACAACTTAAAGTCTTTCAATATCCTGAAACTTAATGTTCAAATGGGTCTAAGAGGTTATATCTAACAAGCCTAAATATGATTAGATCACTGGCAGCATAGTCTACTCAATAAGTCATAAGAAAGGTCGTAGTAGTGAAACCCCCACTTCGCCAACCCATCAATAGGGACTATAAGAAGTATGCAGACTTATTTGACTTGATAAGTTCAAGTATCTGTAGTATACTAAATTCTCCTAATTGACCGAAGAATCAAAGTTCTAGTGAGAATGATGAGTCAGAGCAATAAACGAATATGCGTAGACTCCAAATCTTCAACTATAAAGGATGGTTATAAATCTACCAACTTTAGTATATTTAGTATTAGAGAGCGCATTTCTCATAGCTCAAGTCTGAAGCATGAATGGGTATATGAGGCTAGATTCAATAAGCTCAAATATAGCCTGATTGCTAGCAGCTTTGTTGACACAATAAGCCATAAGAAATGACAGAATAGAGGAGCCCCCATTTCATCAATCAAGAGGATGAAGAGCTATCAAATCCTAACTCACCCATTCTAATAAACTCAAGTGAATCAGATTGAAGTCTCCTCAACTAGTTAAGGATCAATATATTACTTATATTTGGTATTATCACTTAAATCTAAAATATGTAAATCTTCCATCAAGTCTGACGCACAAAGCACATGAAAGAATAAGTAAAAATCCCTAAAAATGAGTTAAAATTATAACCACTAATCCTAAATATTTATTTAGGTTGACATTATTCTTTGTGCTAAGATCTCCAATTAAATATTTGAACACCATCGAACATATTATTTGAGTTGACATCATGTTATGCATTAAGATCCCCAAATAAATATTTAAAAAATCATCGAATATATTATTTAGGGATAACATCATGATTCACATCGAGATCCATAAATAAAAGCATCAAATATATTATTTGGGTAGACATCATAATTCACACTGAGATTTCCAAATAAATATTTAAAATCATTGCATACGAATATTCCCTCAAGTGAAGGAATATGATGACATCTCTTTCAAAGTATATGCAGATGATTCTCCAAAAAGTTTGGGACATTGTCTTTTCCACATACCAAGACTTCAAAGGTCATGAAAGAAAAAAATTTTTTGTGACTACACACTCCATGAAGTCGAGCTAGAGTGCCACAAGTCCTTCAGCAACCTAAAGCTTAAGGTTTGAATGGGCGTAAGAGGTCAAACTCAACAAGCCAATATGTGGTTAGTTAATGAATGCAGTGGCGAAGTTTATTTCACGATCAGACTTTGTTTCACCAATGTCGAAGCCAATTTTCTCGATATACGTGTTTTGCCTCGAAATTTGTGCCACCAATTCGGATGATCCAAATTGAACATAGAAGACGTAGTTTTGAGTATTCATAATGTTCCAATCGTAATGGCGAAATCGGTTCGTCGATCCGACATCGTTTGATCAGATTCGCACTTTAATTTCGGGTGTCGGTCGTCTCTTTTGACCAATCTCATCCGATTTGATTGTGACGGGCCTTGACCTAGCAAAATTTGATATCCTGATCGCAACGATGATGTTCATTTTACAATCGGAGATCATTTGACCCTTCAAGTGACATGTGGTGCTAAGGCTCATATTGCTTTATTCATCAGTTTGTGTCTTTTCTCGTGTGGTTTGAGGTATAGGGGTCAACACTCTTTGACACCGACCTGATATAAACCTAAAGGGTTTAGGTCACTAGCATATACTCCTTCATCAAACCCATTAAAGCAAAAAAGCATGGGGCAGAAGGAATACAAGCCACTTGATAAGTTACTAATGACAAATTAGGTAATCCTTCATTATTGTCCACTACATAAAGTACATGACAAAATGAATCAAAATATCAAGACTTAAGCTATAGCTGTAAAAAGAGTACCTTGAATGGCACCTACAAGTGTCCTTAAGGACTAGCAGCATTTTAAATATTTATTTGAGTTGACATCGCGCCATGTGTCGGGATTCTCAAATAAATATTTAAAATCTTATCAAAGTGCAACTAATAAGACAGTTGTATAAGACCTGAAGTAGTAAAAGTCCTAATAGCTGATGAATCTACAATGCTCGAGCAAATCCTAAACAACACCAATGATTAACAACTGAAATATTACATCCATACATGATTGCGACAAAGAAAGATGTTAAGCTATTATGAATCGAAGCTAAAGTGAAGGTGGTAGAATGGAATAAAAGATACTAAAATTTATGAACGTTGACCTATAAAAACCCATAAAGATAGAAGAGTAGTGTGACATCTAAACAAGTTCTTGGAGATCTGCAAAATGAAAATCTTACGTGACATCCAATCAAGTTCTTAGAGATCCGCAAAATGAAAACCCTCGGTGTGACAACCGGAACAAATATTTAGATATTCACAAAGTGAATTAGCATGCAATAATGGTGGTTCACTCTAGATGTGTACCACATTTGTTGGGGGCATTTGTTAGCCCCTGCACAATAAGCCATGCTAAAAGGGGTAAAATAGGTAATCCAAACAACACATATATCGACTTGATGGATCACTTAAAGGGTTAAAAGACCTTTGAATACTAAATAGACAGTGTCGTTGTGATC